TCGTCCTTCGCGTGGATCGTATTCAAGCCTAGTATGACTTGTAAACAAAAAATTAATTGACAGAATAACTTGTTACTTTGCATGTGTTTTCACGACAGATGTACGAGCTTTTTCCTGCTAAACCGTTAGAAAATTCCATATAAATCTTCAATAACTGCGCTTGATATATATCAATATATTTAGTTCTATAAATAAAACATATTTACTTCATTGTATTTACATACATTATTAATTTATAACCAATTTACACATTTATGATTTTCACACCTACCCATATTTTAATAGAATTATTTTATTCTGCTCAGCAAACACAAACAAAGCACATGCTACAAATTTTGTTGGTGTATTTAATATTAAACACAGGCCTAAGCTGGCCACATGGACCGCATAATGACCAATATGACAAATTCAGAACACACACAAATTTTCCAATCAATCAGCTTCATTTAGATATAGCACTATATTTAGGGGGCCTCTTATGACACACACATACACACACTGTGTGACTTACATATATATACATATGTATATGTATACGTAGGCGAGCAGAGCGAACAATGGCACAAGCATAGGTATATATTGTACATAACTGCGCATTATAGGTGACTCAGCAAAGTGAGCAAAGACTTAGGACAATGTCAGCAGAAATCTACGGCAAAACCTCGACGTCCACAGGAGTTGGCTTTTTTAATCAATCGAGCGCAACGAAAAAGGGCAAAAGTGAATGCAAACAATGGCAGGTGGAATGAGTGTGAGAGTGAGGGTAGCCAAAGTTGCATGTGTCGTTGCTTTGAGGTAATAGTGGCTAATTCGAATTCTTAACTAAAGTTCTGAGTTATCGAAAGTGGAGGAGAGTTACCACATCACCTGCTTTCACCGCTCCACAGTCGATTATTAGACAGACAGTTGCAGTGGAAAGAGTGAAATTTAAGCTGCTGCTCGCAGCTGAAGGTCGCTCCATTAGGTGCAGGTGTGGCTGTGAGTGTGCTAACGGGATGCAACGTGACAGAGACATTGATAATTATTGGAGCAGAAGTAATTAATGCATGCTTTCCGGCGCACTGACACATTACACGGCAGCAATGCAATTATGTAGCAGCAGCAGTTCATTTTTATTTTATTTAAGAGTTGAAAATATTGCTAAGCAACAACAAAGAGTGAAATATTCAATTCGCTCGAGTTAATATTTTAACACCGGCGCAATGCGACAAGACAAGCAAAATCGATTAAGCTAAATAATTTAAAATGAAAGCGAACACAGGTTGTTGCAGAAGTACACGCACACACTAATGCACTTATTTATTTATGTAAGAGTGTGTTGGTTGTTGCATAGGTAATTTATATGCACGTGTAGCGTGTGTATACAGAAAAGCAATTGCATGTCGAATTAAATTAAATAAAGTCTACGCGAATTAAATGCATTGCTACGTCAAGACCTTTCAGCGGCAGCAGCCGAGCTGAGTGAATTTGCTTGTAGTGTTTCATGGAAATGACTGTGTTTTACTTGAGACAATGTGCTACTTATTGTCTAATAAGGCAAAACTAAGTACGCTTTGGAAGAGAAAAATTTTGAAATATTTAAAAAGCTGAGAAAAGAAATTTCATATAAAATTTATTGCTTTTTTGTTTGCGGAGAGAAAACTAAAACTCTACCTAAGGAATTATATTCACTTGCGAATTGCAAACACTTCATTTTTTTAATACATCAAAACTAGACATATTTTAGCATATCCTCCAAATATTTAAGTTGATACAGCAAATAGTTTCGAAGATAACATCGTATTTGTATGAATTCCTTAACTTTATCCTCAATCGGTTCTCAAAATTTCAAATTTCACGAAAGAGCTGAACCAATCGATTGAAATTTCTATACGACCTTATCGATAATTTTGACAAGTCTTGTATTTATCAATAGTAATATATAAAAATACTTTTTTTTTGGATTTGATATAATTTTATGCAGAAAAATATTCTCCGACCGCCAGAAATTTTTTTTCTGCGGTTCTGTTATTGTTGTGGCAGCAGAACGAATTCTAAAAGAAATTGGAAGAATTCTGCGCCGTTCGAATTACAAAGACCCGACTGTCGTGGGAGCGTCCTCCTGCACATCAGCTAAGGGATAAAGAGAGCCCAAAATTTTTCAAAATTAATTCTTAAAGTTCATTAAATTCAGCGAATGTACATTTTTTATTTTTTTATTAAAGATGAAGAAATGACTTTTAAAAAAAATTTGTAAGTGTATTATCTCAGTAAGAATATAAAAAATGGGTTAATTAATATTAGTTTTTTAATATTTTCATATTAGAATATCTATTTATTTAATAATTGCGCACTTTCTGGCCAAAATGGTTTCTTATTTAATTTCAAAATGCGCATAAATCTGAGCTAATCTGCCAACTTAAAATTTTGCGCGCATTTGTTGCATATAAACCTTCTCACTTTTATTTTATTTTGATGATTTTCCAATTACAAAAGCATTACGCACTAAAAAATGCTCACAATAAATAAATAAATAGAAAACGAACTGAATGCCACAGCGCGCAATTGAATGAACATTGCTCGACTAGTCGTCGTACTCGTGGCAGATTATGTTGCAACAATAGCTAACGGCATTTGTACAGCATTTGAAATTCGCACGCGTGAGGCGCTCCGACATTCATCTACACAAAAACTCAAATGTGTGCTTTTATATAAAATAAAAAACATAAATACACCATATATGTATTTGTATGTATGTTTGATCCATGCATAAGTCGTATAGAACATCACAAGTTGAATTAAACAATGCTTTGCTTTTATTATAGTACATATACAAGCGCATACGCCTGTTTGTAGGCAACAACTCAAACGTGCGCCATTCTGCATTCAGTTGCAGGCACTCGTCTGCATTAGTGCGTGTTTTCTATGTCATTGTTATTTACTAAGCACTCGAAGAAACATTAATTTACCGCATGTTGCAGTTGCAGATACAATTGACAGCTCTTTGATTTTATTTTTTAAAAATTTTGTTCATTTTAAGTTTTCCTCGTAAATTTTAAGTTGCATTTGCCATATGCACTTATTCCAATTCTTTTCATGTTTTGGAAGTAATTTATAATCCGAATACTTATACCAAAAGCGAAACTTTGGTCAAACTGAATTTACTATATTCTTAAATTGGTATTTACTTCGCACTAGCTATTATTTACTAGAATTTAATGTACTTTCGTAATCGGAGATTCATTTTGAAGAATAATTTTATATTTAGAGAAGAACACAGGTAAAGATCGAAATATTAGTCAAGATTTTGATTTTTGATAAAACCGTAGATTTCCAAAAAGTAGAGTTTTGTAAAAAAATTTATATTCAGAAAGGCTTAACAAATCAAAGTGATTGTCAAAAGCATTACTTGATAAAAATTTCTGAGGGGGTGAAAATAGCAATTCAATCGGTTCAGCCGTTTCGAGAAATTTTTCTCACCGATTCTGAAGACAGTGTTTTGATAAGAATGCATTTCAAATTTTGTTAGCGGATTACACTAAGTAAAAGAGGAAAAGAGAAACTATTTGCGTGATCAACTTCAAACCATGTACATTCAAAATATGCAGAAAAAGCAATCGAAAAATCTTGCTTTAAATTGATGATATTAACAATTCAGCTCGCTTTCGCTTGACATTATCGTAAGTGATCCACACTTCATCATCAGTGGACACCCGCTTCAGAAATGGATTAGTTTTTTTTGCGGTTCGCGAAATAGGTCGATGATGTTTTTTTCGTTAACTCGTATGGCACCCACATATTGAGCTTCTTTTAATATCTCGCCTTATTTAAATGGTACCAAACGATTTTTTGCCCCATATTTAGTTCCTAGGCATTGGAAATATTGCTAATAATAGCATAAACACTATGCACATTTCAGAATGTATTAACGCGGTTTCTGGTTACAGTTACTATAGTAGTTATCTAAGTTTTTCTATTTAAAACATCTATAGAAAATAGTTTTATAAAAATCCACATAAATTTCGAAACCACAGGAAAAAACAGATTAAAAGAAGTTTAAGAAGACTTTATTTCTAAGAAGCTTAGGATAAACGAAGCATTGTTCTTTATAATGACACAATTCTAATTTAACCTATTCTTCCTTCAATTTGTTATTGAAATAATTTTCACAACTCAATGTAAATTAATTAAATTATTCTGATATTTTTCAGGTGGAGACTTCATTTGAATAAAAACGAGATTAAAAATGTATCTTCAACAATAATAACTACATGTTAATGCGATAAGCAGCTGCTTTATACAATTCGTTCGTAATTTCTATAAATATATGTAAATTTGTTGTAACTTTCTACAAAATGCGCTCATACCGAAATTAGGGCACCCCATTCAATTTTATCCAGCTGAGTAAGGCACCCAGTTAATTTGTCTTAATTCCATTTTGCTAATACATGCGAGTGTTATTACACACACACATTTTTCTCAACAAATGGTTTGGTTTAAATTGTATACAAATGTGTAGTGACTACCCATCTCCTCGCCATCGCGATAATATATCACCCCCAGCACTTTGTGAAGAAAGACTCATATATCATTTTGCTTACATTTACCACAGACAGACACACACACACACACCGTTGCACCGACATAAATTCAGCCCTGCCACATCCTTTGACTGTCACAATGCGAAGGTAATGAATGAGATTACAACTTTTGAAATGAATCTTATTATACTCGCTCATGTTGTGTCATTAAATGTTACATAAAAACTCATTAGTGGGCTTAGAAGAATGCACACAAGCGCATAAGAAGTGGGTGTTATCCACCCACACACCCATGCATATATGAACTCTGTTGCATAAATTAAAGGCATTGCAGAAATGTGCAGAAATATTTGTATTATCTCTGTAGCATAGTTAGTTAAACACGAACTATTTCAATTTCTATTTTAATCATAAATTGTCGGCAGTTTTCACCTCCATATACTCGTTATTACACAGTCTCCTTCTCTTTCATTTTTTCAGCGCTGAGTGTTCAGTCGACTATTCCCATGCAAACTTCATCACGAGGACACCGACTAACGGAAAAACTACAACGTAAGTGACAAAAACTATTTATTTATTTATATTTAATATTATATATGGATTATATAAATGCTTACTTAAGTAGTTGCCCGCTTGTGTTAAAAATACCGTTATATGGAACTATTGCAAAAACACACTGATTATGGTATATATAAAACTGATTAAAACATAAAGGTCAATAGGATTCGAGCAGAAAAAAATTTAGTAATAATTAATTCAAAATGCTTTTATAAAACTAAAGCGTATTTTTTTGTAATTACCTCATTTAATTAAAATACAATAAATAGCCATAGTGCATTAAATTCAGTTATTATTAAATGTAAATATAATGTTAATCCGTGACCACGAATTTGCTTACACTATAAAGCTATAAAAAAAAAAAATTAAATAAATATCATGTATATTAATATTTCATGCAAGAAACAGCGAGTATGTTAAGAAATATCATAAAAGTACCTTGGCTCAGTGTACAAACGCTGCGCGCACTGGTCAGAGGTATGAGTTAAAGTCCATGCCGGCGCACTCACTTTTTAGAATAATTATTTAGTTGTGGTTAAGGTTTTAACAGGTAGAGTAAGTACATGCTGGTGTACGGAGTAACAACAACAGCAATAACAAAGCTGTAAAGCAACATCCAACATGCGACCAAAAAGAGAAAAAATTTGGAGGACAGGTAAAAAGTTTCACATTAATAATATTCAATTGAAATAAGAATGTAGTCAACCGTATCGAAATATTACACAACAAAGCTCAAGCTCTGCAACATTTCTAATACGGCATTGTATTATATTAATTAGTGTGATGGAGCTTAAATTACACTAATAACACTACTCAACAAATCTGAGTGAAAAATTTGCGACTGATGTGCTAAGAGTTCTGTCGGGTATATGAGGTGTCCTGATTACGAATTGGAATTTAAAAATTACTAGTGTAATTTGACCGAGATGTTAAAGAACTTGGGCGCACGCAATCTACTTATTTCTTTCCATACCTTTCGATGTTTCCATAGCAAGCAAAGCTGTTATCTGCTAACCAGTATATAGAAGGAATCTACAAACACATTGAACAAAAATAACATTTTGGCACAATATCATAGTAATAATAGAAGACACCAAATGACCATACGCATTAAGTAGCAAATTCAATTGAGTTGACCCGACCTCAGATGCTACTACGTTTCTTCTAAAAAACTTGTAGATGGTAAATAGTTTAGTACTAAAGTGCACCACAACACTCACCACTTTCACACGCTCCCGAAATGAAACAGAACAAATATGGCTATAAAGGCTTTTCTAACTTGCAATTTTATTTAGTCTTTCAAACTATAAAGTTGTTTAAAAATGATTCGAAAACGAGATGAAAATATAGATATCCGGGTTGGCGCACAACAGGAGTCAGCTGAAGCGTATACGACGGCGATCGATCGTAAAAAAGGAACCCGTGTCCAATCGTCCATCCCTTTTGTTCGTTGGGTAGTGGTGAGATCGTGGGTGTGTTGAAGGTGAGGTGTGTGTTGGTATCCCTCGGTGAATTGTGTAAAGTTGTATGTATTGGTGTGTGGTGTTTTCAGGAGTGGATGGTAATGTTGTGGTGTGTTGGAATTTATCAGTGTTGCTTGTGAAGTGGTGTGTGGTGCGAGCGCAGGGATGTTTGCTGGGAATAATATAATAGATAGCTCGTTTAGCCAGATGGAAAGGCCAAATACTGACTATGCGCAGAGGATAAACTGCTGCACTTATATCTGGATAGTTCTTTTTTTTTTCAAAAGTACTTCACATTAAAATTCCAATATTTACAGAACTTTCTTTTACTATGAATCTAATAATTTCACATACTTATATCGAAATAAAAAAACTTGCAACTCCGCAATCTAACTTGCTTTAAGCATCATAAGCATACACTCGCCTTTAGTTTCAACAGAAATTGTTCACCGAATGCCGTCAACATAAGAGATTCAAACCCCGAATGATTGTGCGCCACCTTGACCATTTCGTATTTGCTATAATTTAACCCTTAACCACACATTTCTAGACGCTAAATCATAGCGAGCGCACACAAGCACACACGAAACCACATCTGCATGCCGACTGCAGCTATTTGGGGGAAAAAAAATCGTTTTCATAACAGTATTTCGTTTGCTGTGCGCGCTCGTTTCACGCTTTTATGCTTCGCAGTGCATTTTACTGTTATTTGCTGGCTGCGGGCCATTAGATTGGCAGGGGCACAGAAAAAATTGCAACTCACGCTTGCATGATTCCAACTGGCTTTGGACGCTGCTGTCCGTTTTTTGCCACCTTCCGCCCCTGCTCTCAGCTCTCTTCCACTACTCACACACATACACACGCGTGCATATGCAAATGACTGCATTTTTTGTTTACCCCTTCGTCTGTGCATTTGTTTATTTATTTGCGCAATGTTTGTGTTGTTGCTTTTGTGTTTATTTTTATGGTCGCGCTTGTTTGCTTGTTTACTTACATCATTTCAACTCAGTCATTCATTTCTATTTTTAAACAGCGCCGCAACATGCCACCGCCTTTATCTACATGAAATTTGTGTGTGTGCCTGTGCTCGTGTGCTTGTGTGCGTTTGTGCATGTGCCTGTCCAGGCGTGTAGTCATGTGTGTTTATGGCTTAATCTTTTTTCCGTTTCTCGCTATCTCCGCTGCAACATCTGTTGGTAAACATTTTCGTTACGGTATTTCTATTTGTTTTGCTCCACATGAGCGCAATGCTGCTATTTGACAAAACAAAAGCAAGACACTGGAATGCCAGCAAAGTGGAAAATAAAGCAGGAAAATACAGCACAAGCTTGTCTCGCGGTGTGCAGCCGCCTCGTAATTTCCACACAACTGCATATTTTTACAGATTCTATCCGACTAATTTATTTATTTGTGATGCTGTGATATTTTGTAATTGAGTTTCGCTTATCCTTTCGTACTTTGACCAAGCATTTAACACATCACTGTTTTTTGTTCGGTATTCTATGTACTTGCGTGTTGAATATAAATCCTAATGTATTTCCACATCTAGCGAGTGTTCTTTTCAAATTGTTTACAAACTCGCATGTAGCATTTTGTAACTTCCAGCTTTGTTTTGTTGTTTAAAATCTACGATTTCTTCAGATGGCTTGCAATTTCATTGCGCCACGTTGACACTTTTATTTTACACCCAACGCTGCTACCACAAAAACGCGGCATTCTTATGTCACTCATACGTAGTGGCGCACCCTCAGGCTGAACGCACAAATACTCCATACATCGTGCCATGACTTTACTATTAAATACTACTTCTTTGGACACAAGATTGAGAAAGAATTTGCCCTCACTTAAAAAATTTAGTAACTATTATTAATAACCTAATCTTGGTTATATTTCCAGCAAAAAATTTGTACAAGAAAGTTTAACTAACACGTGGCAATTAATGTAATTGAGTTCAAATTGCTGTTCACTTCTATTCAGCTGGTGATAGCTTCTTTTATTCAATAAAGTATGTTTTAGTTGCACAGTAAAATATATTAAAAGTACAGTTTGATAAACCTGTGTTCCAACCTTCACCAAAAATAAGTTTTTCAATATGTCAATAGTGCAAATGTCTTTCTATTCTAAAAAACTGTAAAATCTTCTACCGATCTGGGTCGACTCATAACTCGTCACACCACAACTGAAAAGTATTTATTTACATTTTCCTTTAATTTACTCTCTACTACAACTTTCAGGATTTTGATCATAATCGATATATTCTTCATTGGGATATGCCCCATAAAAGCTCTATGTCTGATCTGGTTATTGGTTTTTATACTAAATATTTCTTCCGGATATGTTTAATAAAGATATTATATTTCTTAACATCTGGTCCATTTAAATTGCCCTCGTAAGCCCAATCGTACCGAGTCTACTTTATCACGAACACAAGTATTTGAGTGGCACAAAACATTTGGTCATCAGGTCATTAAAATCTCTCATGGTTATTATCGTATCTACCATTCCGGTTAATGTTTTAGCTATGAAGTGTGTCCAAATATGAATGCATTAAAATTCATACAAATTTAGTTGTATTTTTTTTTTTTTGCCAGAAGTTGATTTTTTGTTTCAAAGTTGATCAGATTGTAGACAGATCTTTACTTTTGGCTCGAACGTCAATATAAATGTTCATAAAAACATTTACCGAGCGTGTCACCAGCTGATCGAATTTAACTATATATTATAAAAGAAGGCCTTGAACTAATATACTGATGGGATTTAATTTAGTTTTATTATAATAGTCTTATAACAAAAGTTCTGTTTAAAAATCAACTCTCATTCCTTTTCACTTTGTGCTTTTCGCAATGAGGGCTGCACACATCAAGTGTCTCAACAGACAAGTCCTTAAAGAAACATGTTGAATTGGATAACAATATCTAATAAAATAAAAGTATGCTTTAATCTAAATAATGTTTCAATTGAGAAAGATTTTTCTTAAATTTTAAATCTAAATAAATTTTCCGTCTTGTTTAAAATTCCAATTAACTAATGGCCGAAACAAATCCGCATTTTATTTACCATGTAAAATATTTATTAATTATTGCAAAATTACCAAAAAATTCCAATGGCAAAAAAAAATGAAATACATATCACTGAGGCCCTACAACAACAATAATAACCACAAAGTACGAAAAAAGTTCTTTGCGCAAATTAATTAAAATTGTTTGTGCTAATCCTTGAAAAAGAATGCTCTCTGGAAAAAGAGCAGATATGTAAGCAGAGATTTAAAACATAAAACCGCAATAATTTCACGAGCAAAAAGCAACAACAAGAAAAAATAATAATAAAAAGCAAATACCAAAACTCGTCGCTTTTTCGGCATTTAAATTGATTCCGTAATATTTTTTGGATTGATGGTGCCACCGAATCGCACTGACTAATCGAATTCCATACTTCATTCACAAATCATTTTCTGCTCCGCGATAAAAGTCTACAGAAATAAACACACAACTGCCGACATATATTGACGCGATGAATAGAGCTGGCAGTCTT